TGGTCCTTGGTTGTGGTGGACCCTTTTGCGATCCAGAGCTGGAGCCACCAAGGCAGAGGGGTGGTGGTGACACACAGCTCCAGGGTGCCCTCCCTGCTGCCAGGCTGGCTGTGCCCAACCAGAGCTACCCAGGGCTGGGGGGGACAGTTCGGGCACCCCAGAAAGCAGACAGGGCTCTAAGGTCTCAAGGTTGGTCGAGAGAGTGGTTGAGGACTTGGTTCTTGGGGGGTCTCTGCAGGCAGAGGGATGGGGGGTGCAGCACGTCCTCATCTGCTGCTTCCCATGGCTGTTGGTGGGCCAGAGACCACCACCCCTTGGGCGCCCAAAGCCCACCCTGTGCCTTGTCTTATGAGGTGCCCTGGAGATGGTGAAGCCATGAACCCATGACATTCAAGGTCCACCCTATCTGGGGGACGGCGTAGAGGAGAGCCAGGGTGCTCCGGGAGGTGAAAGGAGAGGTTGGGGCATCACCTCGGGGAGGTGGGAGCAGCAACCACCAGCTGATGCCTCCATCCTCTGCTTGGCTTTGTCCCTGTGCCCTCTCTGGGGACCGGAGCTAGGCTTCTGCTGAGCTGAGAGCTGGGTGGTTTTAGTTTTCTCCTTTCCCTTGAATCAAGCCAAGTTCCTCCTTTAAAAAGAGAAGAGAAAAAGCAGAACAGTCCTTTTGCAACGGCCGAGGGCTGACCCGGAGAACCTCCCTTTCACCAGAGAGCAGGGGATGGTGTCCGGTGCCTCAGTGACCTGGGGCTGGTCCTGCTTGGCCATGCTGGTGGCCGGGACACCCAGGTGACCATCATCAAGTGTCACTTCCCAGGATGTTTGGACCCTCAGCACCAGCCTCAGCCCCTGTCCCTCTCCCAGCCCCATGTGCCGCTCGGCGCGTAACCCATCCCCCTGGAACTGGGCGTCCCGGAAGCCCTCAGTGCCCTTGGGACCGCTGATAACCCCTCTGCCCCCACAGGAACTCCCTTAATGATTACCAGATGTTCTCTGGAAGGGGGGAAGCAGAGCTCCGGGCTGCGTGCCGGGGGCGAGGACGCATGCTCCGCACCCTCCAGAGCCATCAGAGCAGCTCCTGGTCCTGCTCTTCTCACTAGAGGACCTCTCTACTCGGTCTTCTCCTACACCTGGGTCTGCTGGATGGGCCCTTAAGCCCCAACTGGGTGCTCCGAGGGCAGGATGAGACCCTCCCTGTATCCCTGGGGAGATGTCACAGAGGACAGGGAGCCGTGAAGCAGGTTGAGGAAGGCAACTGCTGCATCTCATCCCCTTCTCGCGTGGCTTTCGGGAGCTGCAGCCCTGCCCCCCCTGCCATGCTACGGGTGCTGGGGCTGTGGTGGGTGGGATGAGGACAGAGCATCTCCAGGCCAAGCTGCGCTTTCAGCTCCCTGGGGACTCTGTACATCCCTGAGTTGTCCCGTTACCTGGGGACAAGGTGTCCAACTCCTTCCCGCAGGCTGTGGAGGAGGAGGATGGAAACTCGGCCAGGTGTTGGGGAATAATCCAGGTTGCTTCATGCTGGTGGAGTTTGGGAGTTTTGGGATGAGGGTGGTGGGAAAGGCAGCTCGGGGGGTTTCCCTGAGGAGGCATTTTCAGAGCTGCTTCCACACCCACCTCGCATCTCAGTTCTGGATGGGAGAGGGTTCTCCAAGGGTCCCCTGGGTGGGCAGCCCTGTTTGGGGGGGGCCAGGGGAAGGAGTGGCATGGTGGGATGGTGGGATGATGGGATGGAGTCTGGAGCCAGCTCTGCTCTCCCCCAGTGCCCGGGTATCTTGGAAACCAGCTGGAAGCGAAGCTGGACAAGCCAAATGTGGTGAATTGGATGTGCTACCGCAAAACGGAGGATTACTTCACCATCTGGCTCAACCTCAACACCTTCCTGCCAGTGGGGGTGGACTGCTGGATCGATAACACCAGGTACCGCTCACGCTGCACCCTGGGAGCTGCCCGGGGAGAAACAACCTCCCTGGGTTCTTCCTCCTGACCTAGCACACGTGGAAAACCACGGGAGCACCCCTGATCAGTTTGCGATGTGGCCCTTCTGCTACTTTCTGTCCTGTCCCCGCAGGGTGGTCTACAACCGAACCTCTCGGAAAATGTCCAGCGCCCCAGGGGTGCACATCCGCGTGCCCGGTTTTGGCAAGACTTATTCCGTGGAATACCTGGATCAGGGCAAGCTGGCAGGTGAGAGGAGGAGAGGAGTGGGATGTCCAAGGATCCCGCGCGCTCCCTGAAAATGAAGTGTCACCAGTGGGGATGGGTTCCTCAGAGAGCCCGGGTCACCTGGGAGTGAGTAGCGTTGACTTTGGGGACACATGAGGAACGTTGACTTCGGGGACACAGTCCCTTCAGGCCACCCCATCCTTGACCGCACTGCCCATGGGATGCATGGAGCCACCATCTCTGGCTGGAGCCACCACCTCTGGCTGGAGCCACCAAGCTCCAGGGCTTACCAGAGAACATTGTGGTCATGACCAGGACCAAGGTCCACCTTTTCTGACAGGAGAAGACCACAGACCTTAATTCCCACCTGTTCTCTCTGCCTGTAGGTTACATGCACACCCTGGTACAGAACCTGGTGAACAATGGCTACGTGAGGGACCAGACGGTTCGAGCAGCTCCCTACGACTGGAGGGTTGGGCCCCGTAAGTCTGGAGTTTGTGGCTGCGGTCACTCAAGCAGGGAGGGAAGCGGGAAAGACGATGTTCATGGCTACCCCTGGACAGGGTTGGCTGCCCATGGTGGTGGGTGCTCAGCCCTTCACGGTGTGAGCACACGGAGACACTTGTGGCCTCTGCGCCCACACCTCTCTCTGGGAAGGGCTCCTAAGGTCATCCCTGGAGCCCACGAGCGAGGTGAGACCAAGAGCTGGTGCCCCTCTTGTCCGCAGGCGAGCAGCCTGAGTACTTCCAGAACCTGAAGGCGCTGATCGAGGAGATGCACGACGAGTACCAGCAACCCGTCTTCTTCATCGCGCACAGCATGGGCAACCTGCACGTCCTCTACTTCCTGCTGCAGCAGACGCAAGCCTGGAAAGACCAGTACATTGGGGGCTTCATCTCCATGGGTGCACCCTGGGGAGGGTCCGTCAAGCCCCTGCATGTCCTGGCATCTGGTGGGTGACTCCTTGTGTGCGGCCATCTCTTTCGCTTGTTTTCCCTCCCATGGAGATGGAAGGGTGGTGGTGGGCAGGGGAAGGACACTGTGGTGGAAGAGGTGAGGGGACAGCCAGGACTCGTGCCCTGGTGCTCTGCCCGTGGGGCAGAAGGCACCGTGGAGGGGTTCCTACCACAGTAGGAGGGTGGTTCATGGCGTGCTCTGGTTTCCGTGATTGGGTTGGGTGGGTTGGTGTGTATGGGAAAATGCATTTGCAAAGGTCCAGCTGCAGCCTGGTCACCCCCCTTCCTCCACCCCGGCTACTACCAGACAGTCAGCACCATGCGCAAGGTCAACTCCTGGGCTAGGGGTGCTCCTGGAACGCTGAAACACCCACCCTAAAATCTTGGGGCCAGAGAAGCAGCCCAGGGCACGCTCACCCCCTTCTCACCTCCTCCATCCACGCGGGAAAGGGAGGTTGCTGGACCTTTGCTGCAAACCATGCATCTCTTCCCCAGCAGAGGACATGGAGGCCACCCAACAGACCCTCTCACTCTTCTTCATCACTTCCTTGGGCCTCCAGAGCCCTACTCCCACCAGCTTTGCTGCCTTTGGCCTTTAACCTCCCATCGCCCGGTTCCTCTTTAGTCTCTTTGCAGCCCAGAAAGCCACAACCACTTGCCTGGGCGCTGACAGCCCAGAACATCTGGAAGTCACAAGCTGAGCCTCCCAAAATACTTGGAATTCAAGAGCATGTGCTTGAAGGTTTTGACATCTGGCCCCTCGCATCGCCCTTAAGTCACCTCCTCATATTTTTCTCTGTTGCCACAAGGGCCGGAGACATTTTTATGGTAATCTGAGAGGGTCACATGGTCTTAGGACTCCAGACACACCAAAACATGCCAAGGCTTGCCGGAGAAATGCGGGTTGGCCACCTCGTCGGCGTCAGCTCACTCCCGTCCCTGCAGACAGGCGTGAAGGTGCTGGTGTTGCAGCAAAAGTCCAGCGCCGAGTTGGTTCAGGGCCATCCCATGTCCTGGACACAGTGGTGGAAGAGGTGGGGGACAAATGGCCGAGGGGTCCACGGAGGTCACCCCAAGTCAGGTCTGCACTCAGCCCCTCCCAGCAGCTACAGATGTGATGCCTGAGAGACGAGTTTGGAAGGTTGTTCTGCAGCCAGGGGGTGAGGAGGGGACCTACGGTGGTGGGCAGGGTTGCCGGGGGAAGCAGGGGAAGATCTGAGGTGGAACCCTACCCCAGCCAGGAGGCAGCTGCGAGCCACTGCTTGGACGGGCCGATCCCAGTGCGGCCGCACAAGGGGCACCGCTCGCACGGGTCCGTTTCAGTGTCATTTGTGTGTCCCGCAGGTGACAACGAGGGCATCCCGCTCATGTCCAACATCAAGCTGCGCAAGGAGCAGCGCATGACCACCACCAACCCCTGGGCGTTCCCAACGAGCCTGGCCTGGCCTGAGAACCACATCTTCATCTCCACGCCCTTCTACAACTATACCTACCGGGATTTCCAGCGCTTCTTCACCGACGTCAACTTGGAGGACGGCTGGTACATGTGGGAGGACATGAAGGACTTGCTGAAGGGCTTACCGCCCCCCGGGGTGGACACGTATTGCCTCTACGGCACAGGTCACCCCACCGTGGAGACGTACATCTACGATGAGAGTTTCCCTTACGAGGACCCTGTGGACGTGATTTACGGCGACGGGGACGACAGCATCAACATCCGCAGCTTGGAGATGTGCAAGCGATGGCGCAGCCAGCAAAAGCAGAAGGTGTACGTCCAGGAGCTGCGAGGCATCGGCCACTTTAACATGGTCTTCAACAACCTGACACTCAGTTCCATCAATGAAATCCTGCTGGGGAGCCTGCGGGAGCAGGGCGAGCTGGGACAGGCAAGATCCAGCCTAGAGGCGGGGAGGAGAGGGAAGATCCTGCCTGGACAGAAAGTCCTTAAGAAGCCCAAAAAGAACGGAAGGGA